GGTGGATCGGAAAGTGATAGTGCTACAGTTGATGGTGAGTCAAGTTCCCATTTCTCTTGCAACAATTTTCTTTTAAATATAAGTGTTTTTACGCCTATGTCAACATAATTGGGTCGCTTTGGGGGCGGGCTTCGTCGCTGCCTGTCAGGGCAAACAAGGACTGAAAAGGATACAACAGTAACTTTATAATAAGAAATACCGAGACACAAAAAAATAAAAATTAAAAAAGTCTCCCCTCACATGAGTCGTACTCAGGTGTTTTGCGTGTGTTGGCAAAACGTCTTGTCACTGCACCAGACAAACACCAGCCAACAGATCATGACTATAAAATTACTGTAAACAGAACAACCAGACAATATCATAGACTCCCTCCCCCCCCCCTTAAAAAAGACAAATACACGTACAATCCTCCTCCCCCCAAAAACAAAAACAAAATAAACAAAATAAACAAAATAAAAAAATCAATAAACAAACAAACAAAACAAAAATATTAACCCTCGTTCCTTTAGTAAATCCAACTCACCCCATCCCACCCCTCCTAACACCGTCTGATTGTAATCAACTAAAAACGTCGCCGCTTGCTGTCTGTGTGCTAAGCTTTTAGCGTCTTTAAGAAAGATGATCACTCATTATTGACTGTGGGCGACACGCTCCATACACACACAGGACATGTCAAGAGCTATGGAGTAGCGTTCAGTATGAATGATGCAACGCTTCTATCTTGAGAATGGGGCGACAGATTTTTATTGATTTAGCGCACTTGAATAAACAACGCTTTGCTCGCACTTCTCGCCCTCATCTCCCCCCCCCTCACCCCCATCCCTACCCCCGGGGTGCCCCTTTCCAATTTTTGCCATGATTCTGCTCATGGTGTCAGCAGTTGTGTTAAAAGGTTACTTGCAACATTTATTTCTGATACGTTCTATGTTTATAATCGTTTAAACCCTTTAAGTGGCTGGTGACAATCATGATGGTAGATACCTGTTTCGTCATCATTCCGAAAATTTACCTCACTTAATGAAGAAGCGGGCTGCGTCAATCTTACTTACCTGTGTAATTATATATCGATGAGGTATAAACGCACTTCATTTAACAGTATGTTTTGGCAATGCAGCTGAACCTGCCGAAGTCGACCACAATTTTATGTACCGAAGAGAAAAACGGTCATCTTAGATAGATGGTCAACCTGGACAGTGTCGCTATGATATTACAAAACGCAAGGGGTGGTGAAGTGGGGAAATGGTCAT